GCAACTTGATGACAACACATCCTTTAAAAATTGTTATATGCTTTAACAATGATTGTACAAATCCTTCTGGTAACAAATGTTCAATTAGAAGTTTGAAATTGGTTAGGCTACTACGATACCATGGATTATGAAGCTTTATAACAATATGTGGCATGTTAGTTAAATTTGGAATATGTTCCTGGTAGATTTCTATTAATGACTTATGAAGATGTGCCACATGAATTGTAGATCTAAATGTGTTGACTTTTGCCCTGTGATTTTGTAGTTCGTTTACAATATTCAGCTCATTTCCATCACAAAAAGTAACACCTTTCAGAAACTCTTCACTCAAATCTACTATTAAATTGCAGTCAATGAAGTCATAGTATGGATAAATAATATTGAATGCTTCATCTAATGATGCATTTGTTAGTTTGTCAGTCCAGTTCATGTAAGTCTCAATCCACCTCTTTAAATCAATAAGTAGTGTAGGATCTGAAGCTTCTTTCTCCTCAAATGCTGTTCGTACCTTCATCATTAAACTAGTAAATGCTTTGTTGAGTCCTATTAGAGAACGTGAGACTTCTTCTTCATCTTCGTTTGTGTTAAACATTATTTCCTCTTGTGTAGTACCCACAGCAGCTCCATTACCAGCATTAGATACTAAAGGATGTCCTTCAATCATTTTTTTGATATTTTGTGCAAGAGTCTTTTCTCTTCTAATGGTCAATGCGGTAATGACATCATTCCAAGTTGCCTCGGGAGAAACAGAAAGCCATTTTGAATACAATTTCCTTTTTCTATCATCCACACTTGAGCTCTCAGCTTCAATTATTGATACATTGTGTTGTGTTATTCCTGGTAAACAGTAGCCAAATGACTGCCAGTCAACAAGTGGTTCAAGCCATTGAATTAATAATGAAACATCAGGTCGATCATCAATCATAGGACCAGGATTGCATTCAACATCTCCTGATAAGAGGAGGAGCATACGTAAACAAACAATCAAATAGAAAATCCTTTTAGAATTGCTGCTTCCAGGTAAGACTACTGACTGGAGGTAATTCATATCAGTAGCAGTAACACCAGTAGTACATTGTACTTGGTAGCAGATACCTAAGAATAAAATACCAGTAAATATACAAGTAAAAAGTTGCAAATCATTGTTGTTTATGAGTTGTTTACCTGTTGGAGGAATCATCAAGATGTATCTTAATGAAGAGAGAGAGAGAAAGAGAAGGAGGAGGAAAGCAATAAGAGACAGAGCTGCTGGCAGTTTAGATGTCTTCTCTCCTGATGTAGTACTGCCTGACTTGCTGTCTACTGCAGCTTTGAATGTGTGAGAATGGCGGCCATTAGATGGTCTACTGGAGGCAGCTTGACAGTAGTTCCACAGTCCAATACTTGCTCTCCATTGAGAGACATCAATCATCTTGTAATTATTAGCAAAGTATCATTAAAATGAACTATAATATACTTACCTCTATCACTGTTAATGATTAACTGTTATAAGTGCTATTGACCAGAGAGATCTCTTGAACAGTGATTGCGATGAGGTACATGTACGTGCTGGAGTTGACTCTACATAAACAGCATTAATTGATTATTGATTGTTTTATCATTATTAATATTTATTTTATTTTTAAACAAATAAAGACTCTGAACTGCTGGACAATATTAATGAGAGAGAGAGACAAGCCTAAACCAGCTATTCACTTACATTAAACCAAACATGAATAATTCTGTTTGATGTTATAATAATGATATGAATGGGGTTTCCAAATCTTGTGGAAACTGCTACATAGAAGCCATTCAACAGAATACCACTGATATTACTTGATCATTGACTATGATAGATCTATAGTGCAATATCAATTTCATGTAGTACCTTATGATCTAAAGACATGGCTTGATTCAAAATGATTGCCGGAGCTATTATCATTGAAATCACTGTAACAAGTGAATTTATACATGTACATGTACACCAGATCCTTTATTTCTTGTCAAAAAAATGTCTAAAGTGTCTTAAGTTATTGTTCTA